CTCTTTCAATTTCAAATTATGATCATGAAGATCTATTAGATGCATAGAATTGAGCCGATCGTGCTCCTAATTTCATGGGATATAATCACCATTACTCTCTGTTGCGGTCCCTCTTCTATTATTTTAGTTTACTTTATTTTCCTCTCTTTGCCCTCCTGGTCCCCAGTCTCATTCCCCTTCCTTGTGTCTGGTGTGTTTATGCTTTCCCAAATGACTTTTGGTAAGTTTCTTTATATGTGTGTCCATGAGAAACATAGAGTATTGCTTTTTGTTTTAGAAAAAGTACTTAAAGGATATCATGCCCCACATCATTTCTGCTCGTACTCTTTTTCAGCTAACCCCCGGGTTTGAGCTCTGTCCATGTTGCCATCTGCAGAGCCAATTCCTTCCTTCCCCTCTCCTTCCTTCTACACAGAGACTAATGTAATACAGTGGACATTTCACTTATCTTTACTCTCACATTTTTTAACGGACATCTTTGTGGTCTCTAACTCCTGGAACCCCCAACGCTGTAGCCAAACCACAAGTACATGGTCTCTTGGGCATCTGAGAGAGAATTTGAGGAGATACAGACTCAGGAGTAGACGACCCGTGTCTGAGCATGAAGGTGTGCTCCATTTCACAAAATCCTGCCAGATTGCTCTCCAAACGAACACGCCAGCTACGGTGCCACCAGCAGTGTGCAAGAGTTCTTGTTTTCCCACATCCCCACCAACTAATGATTTTATCAACATTGTGAATTTCTGACCATCTGATGGATTGAAATAATATCTCAGGGTTGTTTACATTTGCCTCTCTGATGCCAGTGAGGGGTTCAGCTTTCTTCTGTGAATTACATAGAATTCGTGTCCATTTTCCATTTTTCCATTTGTTCATGTGCCCATTTCCTTCTTGTCTGCTCTCCTGTTGGGTTTGCTGTCTTTTTTCCCCCTCTCAATCCTAAGAGTTCCACTGACATAATGAAAGTGCTTAATATGCCTGATTCTAGTCCCAATCTACTTCTGTCCAGATGACCGACCCATAAGGTCAAACATTTGTTGCCCTCCAGTCACCTGTCGATTTCAAAGCTGGGAGAGAAGAGAAGGTCACAAGAGGGGACATGCTCTGAGCTGCCAACACTTGAGCTTTTATTTGCAAGTGAGAAAAAACTGAACTCAAATTAATTTAAGCATAAGGGAGGACTGTATTGACTCACAACTAATCAGGGCAGTCAGACTTCAGGCACGGTGGGATCCTGAGGTTTAAAGAGATCATCTTTCCCTCTCCTGATGCCCTTTGCATGGATTGGCCTTGCTCCCGGGCAGGCCTCCTCTCCAATGGCAAACGGCCCCGGGCCGTCCAGGGTGGTGGATCTTTGGTGCTTGTGATCTCCACAGCAGGGTAAGCGTTTTGATGCCATCAAAGGGGGTAGTTTGTACTTAAACAAGATTACTCAGAGACTAATCAGCACACACAAAATTAAAATGTGACTTTAGAGAAATTTGTAACCTTAATAACTTATAAATTCCTTTCTAGTCACATTAGGGACCGTAATAAGTTACAAATGTAGAAGCCTAATTCTTCCTGATGCTTCACAAACTAAATTATACATCTTATCATCTATTTTTAAACCTAGCAAATTTCAACAGTGGCTCTTAAGAGTGCTTGTATAACCTAGTAAAATTCCCTTACATATTTAAACTCCATTTATAAATTTAATAGATTTAATTTCCTTTGAAGTCCTTCAACTGTCTAACAAACCTTCCCAGGTTCTTAGATACTATTCTGATAAATCAAGTACATTAAAACTGAACATATGGAGAATCATATATTCTCCGAAATGGTCTTTACTGTTTACATTAGTCGACTTCTCTTGTTCCTTTCATCCTAAAAAAAAACGCAAGTCTAAATCAATTACCCCAAAGCCTCTTTACTTTGGGGTGACTGCTAATCTGTTAAGTATTCAGATGCTCTTAAGCATTACCAATGCTAAAAATATCCACTGTGTACAGATTCTTTTTCTTTCCATATTTAATGAGGTTGCATGCAGCCTGAGGTCTCGGCCAGGACATAAGATCTGGAGTAGCCTGCTGAGATGGTCGGTTTCTCACCATCCAGACAGACAAACAGAACCCTCCTTCATGGCCATTAAACCAAGAGAGACTTCAAGTCCAAACATGTCAAATGGGATGGCCTGGTAGCCCTTTTCAAACTACACATTATTTAATTCTGACATCAGATTAGGTTTCTTTAAATTTTATTTATTTATTTATTTATTTATTTATTTATTTATTATTTATTTTATTGGAGTTCGATTTGCCAACATATAGTATAATACCCAGTGCTCCTTTCAACTTTTGACTGGATTTGGTGAACTCTTAATTTTGATTATATTCTGAAATTTTTTCATGTTTTTCTTTATTCTTTTCTTTCTTTTTTTTTTCTTTAAGAGAGGAAGTAGAGGGGAAGGGTAGAGGGGAGAGAGAGTGGGAGAATCTTAAGCAGGCTCCACCCCAGTGCGGGGCTCAATCTCACAACCCAGAGATCATGATCTGAGCTGAAATCAGGAGTCAAACACTTACCAACTGAGCCACCAGCCGCCTCTTTCATATCCTTCTTATTTTGCAGGACCGAAACTCTAACAACTTTGTGAGTACATCCCATTGGATGCTGCACACCTCTAAAGGTTCGGTCAGGCTCTGCAGTCACAAATCTAGTCATACTCATGACATTCCACAGCAGAAAAAGCCTCTTTCCAAGTATAACCTACAGTTCTAGGTGAGCACTTACTTGGTTCTGTTTGAGTCATGTGGGCACTTCTGAAATCATTTCTGTATCCGACTATGAGATATTTGGAATAGCCTATTTTGGGAAAGAGGCTTTCTTTTCCTTATATTCACCATAGGGGAAAACATACGCTTAATACTTAATATCTATATTTATAATCAACTAAACAAAACTACATGAAAATGTATGTATGTGCATCTCATAGAAAGTTTTATGGTACATAAAATCATGATGTGAAAATATCTATATATTCTTTTTTTAAAGGACAGACATGGAATTTTTTTCAGATGTTGAATTTTAACAATTGCCTTTCAGAAATCATGAAGAGGATCATATTATTTTTATGTGATTTATTAAAGTAAATTATATTTAAAAATGGTAAATTGTATTAGCTCCCCTAATATTCAAACTGTCATCCCTAATATGAATCCCACCTGGAATCATGTGTTATTGCTTTAAAATACTAATAGAATCTTCTGGCTAGTATTTTATTTTAATATATTGATAATTATAATTGAGATTCCCCTATAATTTTATTTTCCATGAGTTTTCTTTGTCAGGTTTTGGTATTGTTAACTCTGATCTTTTTTTAAAAAGGAGAGTTTTTCTCCTTGCTATATGCTCTGGAATAATCCAAATTACACTGGAACAATCTGGAAAGTGGTAGGCAAAATCATCCATGTTAGAGAATGACCAGATTAATTTTTGTAGATTCTTAAATTTTCGTTTTGTAATTTTAATAATCTTATTTAAATTCAATTTGCCAACATATAGTATAACATCCAGTGCTCATCTCATCAAGTGCCCCCTCAGTGCCCATCACCCAGTTATCCCAAACCCCCGCCCACCTCCCCTTCTGAAACCCTTTGTTTGTTTCCCAGTTAGGAGTCTCTCATGGTTTGTCTCCCTCTCTAATTTTTCCCACTCAGTTCCCCTCCTTCCCTTATAATCCCTTTCACTATTTCTTATATTCCACGTATGAGTAAAACCATATGATGATTGTCCTTCTCTGATTGACTTAGTTCACTCAGCATAATACCCTCCAATTCTATCCATGTCAAAGCAAATGGTGGGCATTCATCCTTCCTGATAGCTGAGTGATATCCTGTTGTATACATAGACCACATTTTTTTAAGATTTATGTATTTATGTATGTATGTATTTATGATATATATACATATATATATAAGCACACACACACACACACACACATATATATATATATATATATATATATATAGAGAGAGAGAGAGAGAGAGAGACAGACAGACAGAGAGGCAGAGACACAGGAGGAGGGAGAAGGAGGCTCCATGTGGGAAGCCTGATGCGGGACTTGATCCCGGGACTCCAGGATCGTGCCCTGGGCCAAAGGCAGGCACCAAACCGCTGAGCCACCCACGTATCCCCTAGACCACAGCTTCTTTATCCATCATCTTTCAATGGACACCAAAGCTCCTTCCACAGTTGGGCTATTGTGGATATTGCTGCTATGAACATTGGGGTGCAGGTGTCCTGCCATTTCACCACATCTGTATCTTTGGGGTAAATCCCCAGCAGTGCAATTGCTGGGTCATAGGGTAGTGCTATTTTCAACTCTTTGAAGAACCTCCACACAGTTTTCCAGAGCGGCTGCACCAGTTCACATTCCCACCAACGGTGCAAGAGGGCTCCCCTTTCTCCACATCCTCTCCAACATTTGTTGTTTCCTGCCTTGTTAATTTTAGCCACTCACACCAGTGTAAAGTGGTATTTCATTGTGGTTTGGATTTGTATTTCCCTGATGGCAAGTGATGTGGGACATTTTTCATGTGCTTGTCGGCCAAGAACTGTATCATCCTCTCAATAGATGCAGAGAAAGCATTTGACAAAATGCAGCATCCAATCCTGATTAAAACTCTTCACAGTGTAGGGATAGAGGGGGCATATCTCAAAATCATAAAAACGATCTACAAAAAGCCCACAGTGAATATGACTCTCAATGTGGAAAATCTGAGAGCTTTCCCCCTAAGATCAGGAACACAAGGATCCCCCCTCCACCACTGTTGTCCAATGCAGTACAGAAGTGCTCGCCTCGGCAATCAGACAACAAAAAGAAACAAAGGGCATTCAAATTGGCAAAAAAGAAGTCAAACTCTCCCTCTTCGCAAATGACATGATACTGTACGAAGAAAACCCAAAGGACTCCACCCCAAGATTGCTAGAACTCATTTTGTATTTAAAGAAACCACTGTTGGATGCCTTAAACTACGAGTAAGGAAAATGACAATTCGGAGTGATGCCAGAATCCTCACTGCTAATGTGAGACAGTTTTGAGGGGGTGAAGGTTGCCTCTGAGGTGCCCTGCCTACTTTGTGGGATGCCTGGGAGTCGCCGTCTGCCCATAGGCCTCTGACGCTGGAGGAGTAGACTGGTATGAAGGTAATACACGAGGGTGAATGGGGAAAAAAGAAAGAAAGAAAGAAGGAAGGAAGGGAGGAAGGAACGGAGAACCATTGAATTCATCCTTTTAGTTCTGCCATTTAGTTCTGAAAGTCTTTATTTCTTTTATGCTTTCTTTGGATTCATTTTGTTTGTCTAACTGGGTTGGCTGCGTCATTTACTGATGACATTCTTACCTGTTCCCTGCCACTCCTTGGAGTCCAGTGGGCTGCAAGGGGGTTCTGTATCCCCTAGCCCAGCCCAAGCACATAGATCTTTTTGTTCCATACTAGAGGTCATAGGCTTGTCCCATGGATGCTTCATTGCTTTGAAGAAGTCTGTGCTTTGCCAGCTTTTCCCAAAGTTCCCAGCTCTCTCCATGATTTGTTTATTTAGTGTTTTCTATTCTCCTCAAAGACTGAGCTGCCATTATTGTTTATTTTCCTTCGTGTGTTCGGTTCACTTCAAAGTGGAAGAAAAGAGGCGCCTTTGATCTACTATGTCATCCCAAATCTAATGTACTATTATACAGGGTTTGATTTGGGCAACTATATTGTTAGCTGCTAATTTTTAACAGATTTGTGCAATTTGTGGGATCAGCTACTTGCCACATCACTTGCTCAGACCAGTCCTCAGAACCATCATCCAAATTTTTATTTTTGACAAACTATTAGAAATAGCAAACAGACAATCCCAGTCTATTGCATTAATGATTTAAAACAATGCTTTTCTCTCCACAGAGCGTTTCCTGAGTGAAGAGTTCTATACTCCTGGTGGCTCATTGTTTCTGATGATTGGAGATGGAAGTGCCACCAGCAAAACATGGACGTCAATGAGCATCACCTGGAAAATGGTGAGAAATGAGAGCCCTCTGCTGCTCTGTGGAACACAGATTTTATGGGCAAAGCCGGCCAACCTCACAGACTTATGAGTTGTTCGTAGACTTTTCTAACTAAAATATACTCTTTGTGTCCCTTAAACTACAATATCATGTTCAGAATTTAAACTTGAGACAATATATACCTCCTCAGTCTCAAAATTCTCTCCCATTAGGCTGAGAGGACTTGAAATTAATGAAATTTAAACTCTGAGAATGACCCACCACTCGGAGGCAGTAGCGACCATTTTATTAAAAACAGTTTGTCATTGTTAAGTGAAATGTCAAATTTTGGCTTGCAGTGGCAACACAGGGGCAGAGTAAGGAGACCTAGCTGTTCTTCAAGGTCTTATTCTTCCCACTTAGTATTGTTATATTTTTTGTGTGGTAGAAAAATGTGATTTTTTTGACCTACTTATAATTAATATATACGCCATCAGACAAAATGAATTACAAGGTGCTTCTGAAAGTTTTAAGAATATCAGAAATTTGGTGCAAAGAACTTTACTCTCATTTTCAAAGGAACATGCAGTGCTTTTTACAACCCCGAGAATGCCATTAATGTCAGTGAAATGATATTTTTATTATATGAGTCATAATTCTTGGTACTGTTTAACAGTGGAAAACTATTAATAACTTTAGGTTAATAGCATAGGTCTCTTCTTAGCTTCAAAAAAGTGATTTTGGAATTCTAAGTTCCTGACTATTTTATGATGTGGTGACAGTCCAGTAATTCCACTAGCTCTACCTTTCTTCAGTAGACACTGATGTGTGTGTGGGTGTTGTCAGAATTTTGTCATTCCACCAAAAGTTTCAAGAATAGGTTTCCTACATTGTCGTGAGACATTTTTCAGAAATGGAAGTACTTGTGTTGACCAAATTCACAGCTTGTATTGATGAAGTCAGGAACAGTGATTGACTAATACTCTCCACGTAGTTAATTTATAACCCATTAAAGGGATCCAATCACTTGTTTTGGGGTAGAATTGCTCCTTACTTGCTGGGACAAATATTATTAGCCCTACATGTACTCCTCCTTTCCCCACTTGCTACGTAGAATCCTTTATTAGCCAGGTCCCTTTCTCCCCATCGCCTTCTCTACATTCTAATCATGAAGGAGGAGAAGGCCACGCAGGCTAGGAAGCACGTTAGATTAAGCCACATGAAGAAAAAATTCTGACCAGAGGGAGAAAATGGTGCTTGGGTTGGTGCTAAGAAGAGAGAAAGTGTTTGGTGTATGAGAGTTTCCTCAGCAGAATTAGGAAGCAGAAGGAGGGACTCAGCTGAGTTATGACTTTTAGTCCTTTTGATGTACTTGGAGATACACCCGCTAATAATAGACTTCCCTTTTCATTGCTGTTGGTTGTTGGATGGTGCTTCTTTATTTGTTTTTGATTTTTTAAAAATAAATGTTAAGGAATTTATTTATTTGAGAGAGAGAAAGAATGAGCAGGGGAGGAGCAGAGGGAGAGGGAGAAGCATAGAGCCCGACCTAGGGCTCAGTCTCAGGGCCCTGAGATCCTGACCTGAGCTGAAGTCATATGCTTAACTGACTGAGCCACCCAGGCCCCCTCTTCTTCTTTAAACATGACGTCCTAGGCGCCCCTGGGTGGCTCAGCAGTTGAGTGTTTGCCTTCGACTCAGGTCGTCATCCTGGGGTCCTGGGATTGAGTCCCACATTGGGCTCCCCACGGGAGCCCTTCTGCCTGTGTCTCTGCCTCTCTCTGTGTGTCTCTCCTGAATAAATAAATAAAATCTTAAAAAGAAAAACACCTGACCTCCTAGAGTGGACCCTAAACACTGTGAAACACCCCCACCCTCATCCCCGTCATCATTTATCCAAGGTGGCTCTCTGTGGATCTAGAATGGAAATTTTAAGATGGCAGTGATTAAGAAATCACTATTTCCTTTTGAAACAATTCTTTAAATAAATACTTAAAGAGCAAAATATTTAGCATGCATTACTTTGCCCTGGACTGCTATCTGTCATGCTGCTGTGGTCTATGATTATCATATAATATGATAGGTATTCGTACTGTACAGACACTTGTATAACATTTCTGAGTCATAGAAGCCTCTGGTTTTCAGTGGTATTTTTTGATAATTTTTTTCTGGTTTTAAAATTGGCATTTTGGGGGAAAGTATAGAAGATTAAAAAAAGAAAGAAATGTTACTCATAATCTGACCTATTAGAGGTACTTGTTGCTAAACTCTTGACTTACATTTGTGTATTCTTTTCATATGGCTAAATATGTAGAACTTTTTTTCAAAACAAACTGCATTTAAGGTTTTATATCCTATTTGTTTTTCTCTACTAATGTTGTTGAGGCTGGGAAATCTAGTTTTAATTCTATGAACCTAGCTGAATTTTTTTTTTCTAAGAGAAGAAAGGGAGCCTGGATATTTGGGGCCAGCTAGCATTCTCTGTCACACAGGCTTCTAGCAGTGAAATACGGAGACAAAAGCTCCTTTGCCTTCTAGAAGGCCCTAGTATAGGTGGCCAGTGTGCTCCTCAGAAATGTCCTCTTACTTAGTTCTCTCCACTAATGCACAAGACTGCCTAGCTCATCTGGCTTTTGCCGACATTTAGTACTATCATTGAAATGACTTGTTTGACAGTTTGATAGGAGAAAAAAACAAGTCATCACTATTTGCATTTTCATGCTTATTAGTAGGACTAAATATTTTTCATGTGTTCATTGGCCATGTGCATTTCATTTCCTCTTTGTGAAGTGCCTTTTTATGTATTTAGCCCGTTTTTGATGTCTGCATTCAGTCATTTGGGGCATTATGCTGGTTGAAATTAGTATCTCTAGCAAGAAGAGAGAGGGTATTCCGTGTACGTGTGTGTTAAGGATTAAAAATGACTTTAACACAAACAACAGACTTCCTTAGGGTTGTAGAAAACCTTACTGAGAAACAACAAAATGGTAAAGTGTTATTTGGCTCCTTTATAACTTGGGAAACTCAAGCCTGTATTGGCTTTATCAGGATGCAGCAGGCAAACCAAAAAGACTGGAAAATACCCTCCACATGATTAACCATGGATCCTCTAAATTCTCAGAAAAGTAGTGGAGCAATGCCAGCTTATCTTTCCAATAAGAGCTACCCTTGGAGTCAGGCTGACAGCTGATCGTCCAGCGTGGTCAGTGGGCCCAGCACCCAAGGGAAGGCTGTCTTGCGATGGGAGAGTGCCCAGAGCTCCCATCAAGTGCCCAGGATGGATGGGAAGGACAAACACAAATGAGACTTGAGAAATGAAAGCTCCTCCTCCTCCTGCTGCTTGCATTTCTGCATCACTGTTAACCAGATGTCCTTCTGCCCCTTTGTAGTCAAATGTTCCAAGGGGATAAAAATCTCAGTGTGCTTTCAACATTTGCTCTTTGGCCACAAGGTCAAGCATGTATTAAGTGACACGTCACTGTGTTCTAAGTTCTAATCGTTGTCATAAGGAAGTGTGGTTGTGTCTTAATTGTAGAGACCTAAGTACCCGTACCCCCTACTACCTCAGCAGCAGGCAAGCCCTACCAACTTCCCAAGCTTTGTGGCAGGAAAATGGGGCTCACCAACCATAACTGGGTCTCGTTTGGTGGTTCCCAGGCAGGATCCCTCATAGTATGGTTGAGAATAAAGTACACTGTTCTGTTTGCTGTGGGCGATAGTGCACCAATCCAAGCAAACATTGACTTTTCTGGGGAATATGCATTTAATATGGAAGAATATTTCTGGAAGTCGGGTGGATCACTTGATACATTGGTTGATCACTCACAGGGTCATCCAATTTAAGCTGTGTCTACCCCAACCCACCATGTGATACAACTCCATGAGAGATACCTGGGCTACACACAGTTGATAGTTGTTTATCCATTTCTAAAGGCAGCTGGCTGAGTTGGCTTTAAAATGGGTGATGTCTTGGACAGCCCTGGTGGCCCAGCAGTTTAGCGCCACCTTCAGGCAAGGGTGCCATCCTGGAGACCCAGGATGGAGTCCCATGTCAGGCTCCCTGCATGGAGCCTACTTCTCTCTCTGCCTGTGTCTCTGCCTCTCTCTTTCTCTGTATCTCTCATGAATAAATAAATAAAATCA